TTCCCATATAGTTGACACGTAGGAGGACTCCTTCGAGTGGAGGGGAGAAAGGGGTGGTGGTGGGGATCTAGGCCCACTCACCCAGGAGCTATTGACCCAACGTAACTTTGGCCCAGACGTAATTCACCCACAAGTATTTCACCCCCGGTTACTTCACCCAAGTGTATGATTGACCCACGAAGCTCTTCACCCACATTTATTTTTCATTTATTTTTAGTTTTATTACAAGGCTACAGTATTTCCACAGGCACGAACATATTCTAGTATGCGGTCCGTTGACTTGAACTCCTCGTAGCGTCTGGTCAGAGTTTCAAGGCGCTCGTTGACCTTCACGTCAGCCTCCTCCTTTTGGAACTCCACGTCAGCCTCCTCCTTTTGGAACTCGGCAATCAGCTTGTACAGCGACGGGTGGCTCTTTCCTACTATGGTTTGGAAGCGGCTGTGCCAGGCTTCAGTGGCGTTGTTGGTGCGCGGCTCGTTTTTCCTTGCGGCCCGGTACTGGTTCCACCACAAGCGAGGGTACCGTGGCGGTGCTCCTCGGCGGTTTCCTCGTCTTCTCCGCCCGACGACATAGGTGCGTTCGAAGTAGTCTCCGAAGTTCACCATTCGGTCCGGCAAGTTGTTCAAAACTTCTTCGCAGGCTTCTGTGACGTCATTAACAGGCACGAAGGCGAGGCCGACGACTTCTTTGAAGCCGTTGCGAACTGTGTCGTCGTCCGGGTCACGGTATGCAGTCTGCAAGCCCTCTCATCCCTTGCATTTGAAATTCATTTCTGGGTGAATTATCCAGGCATGGGTGAGATGAAATCGAGGGTGAAAGGGCCTTGGGTGAATATTAGGGGGTGAAAAGACCCTGGGTGAACGGACTTTGGGTCAATGGAGTGTTGGGTGAAAGACGTCTGGGTGAATGGGCCGTGCCCCGGTGGTGGTGTTTGCGTAGCAGAGATGGATTATGAAGTGGTAAGGGCGAGGAGTTTTAAATTTAAAGTGCGACGCACGCCATCCGGTGATTCGGG